CTCTAACTCTCTCTATCTGTCTTTAAACCCTAAACCCTAAACCCTAAACCCTAAGACCGGAAAATCATAGGGCCTATCTAAACCCTAATCCTTTTAAACCCTAAACCCTAAACCCTAAACCCTTTTTTTTTTAAATACTCTTTGGCGTTTAAAATAAAGACAAGAAAAAAGAGTTAATTCCGAAGAAAGTTTATTTAAACATTTTCTTTTTTTTGTTTTTTTTGCACTCGTTTATCGATATCTTTTTTATCTGCCAGTCGTTTGATGTTTTGTTTTTTTGTATTTCTTGAATGAAGATCAGCGGCAACAGTTTCTTTGCTTTGTTTGTCTGCTGCTCTTTCTTCTTTAACTTCTTCTTTTGCTTCTCCTTCTGTCTTCCTCTTTGCTGCATCTCTCTTCTTCTTCAGCAGCAACGCCTGCAGCACATACAAAGAAATACAGATATCTATTTAAAGAGCTTCTTATCTCCGTCTGCTGTCTTTAAAACGAAGAAAATTAATATATTAAAAGATATGAATCAGTGCAAATACGAATAACAGCAACAAACAAAATAATAAAAGGTGTATATATATATATATGTATGTATATATACGTACACCTGAAAGAAGAAAATAATTGTTGTACGAAAATAAATACACAAAGAGACGAAAGCACAAACAAAGACAAACGTGCAAGTGAAGCCACGCAAGACGCATGCACATATATATATATATATATATATATTATGTATATATATATTATATGCGTTTATATATATAACAAATATATGAAAAACAACAACATTAAACAAAAGTTAAAGATGAAGCTGTCTTGACTTGCTCTTCTTTTTCTGCGTTCTTCATTCTTTTTTTTAATTTTCTCCGTTCGTATTTTTGATTTTCCTCCGCTGCATTTTAACAAAGCCAAAGAAATTAAAATAAGGCAGCAAATAACAAAAGTATATTTTAATAAATAACAAAAGTATATTTTAATTTCATTATAACTTTGTAGAAGAAGAAAAACAACATCAATCATATATCTGCATAATTAGCATAGTAAGTCTAGCGGCTTTGGCTTTGTCTTCAGATTCAATAAATAAACATAGAAAAGGTATTTCAATAAATAAACATAGAAAAGGTATTTCAGAAGAAATTCAAATGCATGCATAAATATATACAAATTATATTATGCATTAAATATATCAATACTCATTCATATATTTATTCAGCGTTCATACAAATGAAGAGGGCATCAATATAAATACCCAAGTAGAGCGTAAGCAAATGAAAAATAAATAAATAAATAAATATAAATATAAATATAAATATAAATATAAATATAAATATAAATATAATTAAATTAAATAGATATTAATTTCTGCATTTCTGCATACCCGCCAGCTGTTAGCTCAACCCGTATTTTTCTTTCGTTGAGGGTCCTTCCATCATAATTTAGAGCGATCTGCAGAATAAATAAAAAGAAAAAGAGTTTTAAAACATATATTCAAAGTATACTTTAAAAATAATTAAAAAACTCATATCAACATTTTCGTATTCAGGTGTATCTGCACCTTAGACGGGTTTTGTTAAGCTCAGTATTAATTCTCGTCTTCATTTTTGTTATTTCTATGATAAATGATGCATAAAAAAAGAGAAAAAGACTTTAATAAATATTTTATTTTGTTTAATTCTTTAATATATATTCTATTTTTTGTTTAATTGTACTTTCAGAGCTTCTTTATTTGTAAACTCTACAAATCCGCAGCCTTTGGGTTTCTTCGTTTGTTTATCAGTCAGAAGGCGAACATCTTTAATAAACAACTCTGCAGCAAAAACAGCATTATAAAGCACTTCTTTCTCTTCCTAAAAAGATAAAACATATTTAAATATAAGATAAGAAAAACCCAATAAGATAATAATAATATAAAACAACAATAAAAAGAAAAAACCCTCTTCATATAAAGAGCTATAAATAATAATAAACAAGTAGAAACCCTAAGAGTAAGACTAAAAGGCTTTAATGCTCATTTGTCTGTGTTCATACACCACAAGAAAAAACAAATAAAAACAAACTGTAAACAGACGAAACATACAAAAAATAAAGACATCTGAATAAATAATAAATGCAAAAGTAGAGAAAGCCCTCAGATAACAAATCAAAAGAAGTACATCCTAAAAAGATAAAACATATTTAAATATAAAACAAGAAAAACAACATAAAATAATAATAATAATAATAAAACAAAAATTAAGAAGAAAGCAAAGGCTTCAAAGTAATCGGTAGATGCAAGCTCAGCAAGAAGATAAAAGCAATGAAGAGAGTGTGCATATAACGATAAATAAAAAGATATTTAAATAAATAAATAACAAACAAACAAACAAATATTAAAAATATTTATTTATTTATCTTACGAAGCTTGCGGCCAAAAAAGCTGCGAACATCTGCAGCAGAAACTGTCAGAGGTAAATTCCCGACGAATAAAACGAAGAGCTGCAGCAAAATAAATAAATAAATAATTATAATTATAATTAATATAAATATACTTAAATTATCTGCACTCAACAAATAAATAATTATAATTAATATTAATATTAATATATTTAAATCATCTGCACTCATCTATCTAATTTATTACTTACACATCTAAACAGCCTGCGCATTAACATACATATAATATATACATATAAATATATATATATATATTTATATATATATATTTATATATATATATTATCTACACAAAAGCTATTTAAACAGAAGATATGTACATTTGCATAACTGTTTATGTTTATGCAGCATACAAACGCAATAAAATATCAACACGACTACAAACATACAAAACATAAACACGTCTATACATATACACATATCATATATATAATATATATTATATATATTATATAATATATATTATATAATATATATAATATATATATAATATGATTGCTTCAATTGAGCCGTATATAAGCTGCCAGCATTTGTTTGCATGCGTTTAAACTGCAGGTTAGACAATTTAGGTGTATATGCAGCACTTCAATTGTGTGCATGCATACAAGCAAAACAACTCTTCAGGTGTATAGGCAACTCTTCAGGTGTATATGCAGCACTTCAGGTGTATAGGCAGCTCAAATGCATGCTGAGCCCTACCGACTTCTTCTGGGGAGCTTCTGAAGACTGCGCAGGTGCTGCTGCTGCTGCTGCTGCTGCTGCTGCTGCTGCCGCCTCCGTCTTCAGCTGAGTTTCATCTTGCTGCTGCTGCTGTTGTTGTTGCTGCTGCTGCTGCTGCTGTTTCTTGTTGGGTTTCTTCTTTTTAGAAGCTTGGCGTTGCTCCCGCAGCGCAGACTTCAGCAGCTGCAAGGAGCGCTTCATCCTGCAGCAGCAAAACAAATCTGGTGCTGCTGCTGCTGCTGCTGCTGTTGCTGCTGCTGCTGTTGCTGCTGCTGCTGTTGATGCTGCTGCTGCTGTTGCTGCTGCTGTTGATGCTGCTGCTGCTGCTGTAGCTGCTGCTGCTGCTCCTGAGGAGTACTTGTTCTTGCTGCTGCTGCTCTGCAGGAGCTGCTGCTGCTGCTGTTGCTGATGCTGTTACAACACCACCTCTGCTGTTGCAGCAGAAGCTGCACAGGCGGACGGCTTTCTTCCTTCTATTCAGCTGCAGTGCTGCTCCTCGTAATTCTGTTTTTGCTATCCCTGCTGCAGCAATACCTTCTGCTGCTCCCTCCGAGCCTTGCATGCGTTCCTTGCTGCTGCTGCTGCAGCAGCTGCTGCGCTTGTGGCTCTACAGGCAGCTGCTAATGAGATGGTGAGGCGAAATAATAATATTTTAGACGACTAAAAACAGAAAACAAAGAGACACATCTGCTGCTGCTGCTGCTGCTGCTGCTGCTGTGCTGCATCGATGCTGTCCCCGTAGCGGCTGCAGCTGGGGCTGCAGCTGTCTTCTTTTGCTGCTGCTAGACCCCCTGCATATTTATTGTTTTTGCTTTTGCTGCTTCCTCATGTGCGCTGTCCATACACAGCGCACTAGAAGAAGCAGTAACTGCAGCCTCTGCTGCTGCCGCTGCTGCTGCAGCTGCAGCAGCTGCTGCTGCAGGGTTTGCCCCCCACCTGCCTGCTGCTCAACACAAGATGGACACTGCTGCTTCTAACCTTCATCGTGTAGATCAGCTTGAAGCAAACAAATGCAGCGCCTCAGCAGCAGCAGCAGAAGACGCAGCAGCTGCTGCTGCAGCTGCTGCTGCAGCTTCTGCTGGACCCGATGCTGCAGCAAGCGCAGCAGCATCAGCAGCAGCAGCAGATGATGCGCCTGATGCAGCGGAAGGCTTCGAGGCAGTGACAGCAAACGAAGCAGTTGCTGCTTACTTGTGTCCAGAGGAAGCAGCAGAGAGCATTAGAAAGCTATGCCTGCTGCCAGCTGCTCCTGCTGCTGCTGCTGCTGCAGCTGGTGCTGCTGCTGTAGATGCAACACAAGTATTAGGACCAGCAGCAGCAAACCAGATAAAAGAAACTGCTCTTGCTGCGCTGCTGCTGCATCTCCATGTGGGGCGTGTGTCTTTCAGAGAAGTCCTCAGGTACGCCGACTGCTGCAGCACAGCAGCAGCAGCAGCAGCAGATGCAACAGCAGCAACAGCAGTTACCTGTTCAGGTTATGTTAAGGCGGCACAAATGCGAAAGGCAGCAGCGCTGCTGCCGGCACAAATAATGCGCCGCATGCCAGAGCTGCCTCTCCGCAGCAGCAGCAGCAGCAGCAGCAGCAGCAGCAGCAACAACAGCAGCAAGAACAGCAACAGCAACAGCAACAGCAGCAACACAACCACAGGCAAAGAGAATGGTAATGATGCAGCCACAGATAGCAGCAGCAGCAGTAGCCGCACATCGGCAGGTAGTTGCACAGCGGATAACAGCAGCAGCAGCAACAGCAGCAACAGCAACAGCAGCAGCAGCAGCAGCAGCAGGGAGAGGCTGAGTGAGGAAGACGACCTCTGGGAGTTGCTGCAGCTGTGCAGCAACAAATTTTTTAAAGACTGGCAGGGCACAGAGGGCGGGGTTAGCTGCTGCCTCATCATTGCAGAGTCATCTCCGGAGCTGCTGCAGCTGCTGCTGCCGCTGCGTAGCAGCAGCAACAGCAGCAGCAGCAGCAGCAAGGAGAGCAGCAGCAGCGATGATAGCAGCAGCAGCAGCAGCAAGTACTGGAGCGAAGATTGTACAGTTGGTTTGTTTATTTTGCGCAGTTTGCTGCAGCAGGTTCACACCCCTTCTTTCGCTCAGAGCACGCGGCAGCAGCTGCTGCAGTTGCTGCTGCTGTTGCTGCAGCACTGCGTTTCAGCAGTGCAGCAGGAGTTGCAGCAGCATGCATTAGTGCTGGATATATCGCGGCAGCTTGAAGGCGAGAGAGACCCTCGATGTTTGCTGCTGCTCTTCGCAATTGTTCAGCAGCTGGGGTGTACGTACAGCTGCTGCATGCGAAGGACTGAGCTCGAGGCTTCTGTTGATATTATTATGACTTACTTCCCTATCTCCTTCACCCCTCCCCCCAACGCCCTCGCCTCAGTCACAGGTTTGCTGCTGCTGCTGCTGCTGCTCCTGCTGCTGCACTTGCTGCTGCTGCTGCACTTGCTGATGCTGCACTTGCTGATGCTGCACTTGCTGCTGCTGCACTTGCTGCTGCTGCACTTGCTGCTGCTGCACTTGCTGCCGCTGGGGTTGCTGATGCTGCGGCTGCTGTTGCTGCGGCTGCTGCAGTTGCTGCTGCTGGGGTTGCTAATGCTGCGGCTGCTGATGGTGCTGCTGCTGATGGTGCTGCTGTTAGAGTCCACTCGGGCTGTTCGCTGCTGGTGCTGCTGCTACAGTGCGCAGCTGCTGCTGCTGTTGCAGTCTGTTGCTGCTGCTCTTGCTGCTGCTGCTCTTGCTGCTGCTGCTCGTGCTGCTGCTGCTCTTGCTGCAGCAGCAGCAGCAGGAGCAGTTTTGTTTGCTTAAACTGTGTGGAAGCTATGTTTGTTTGCTTGGTTTCAGAGCAGCAACTAGTTGAGGCGTTTGCTGCTGCTGCTGCTGCTTCACCTCTCTACGGCCCCTTTGTGCTTTCGCTGGCTGTCGATGTTATACCGTCCCTTATAGAAGACTGCAGCAGCAGCAGCAGCAGCAGCAGCAGCAGCAGCAGCAGCAAGGGCAGCAACCCCGTGGAAAAGGCTCTAAACTCTATTGCCCTCTGCCTTCCTCACTTTGAGGCTGCTGCTGCTGCTGATGCGGCGGTGCAGCTTGGGTTGCTGCTGCTGCAGCAGCAACAGCAGCAGCCTGACGACTTGCTGCCGCTTGAAGCTGTGGATCTGTTGGGTTTGCTGCTACGACGAGCGCAGCAGCAAACCCCAGCGGTGCAACAGCAGCAGCAACAGCAGCCAGACCAACAGCGGCAACAGCAGCAGCAACAGCAGCAACAGCAGCAGCGGCAGCAGCAGCAGCAGCAGCAACAGCAGCAGCAGGAGGAGGAGGATTTGGATGGTTGTTTGTCTGTCATGCAAGCAGAGGAGCTGCTGCTGCCGACTGTCTCTCCGCTGCTGCAGCTGCAGGACATAGCCAAGCCGATGAATAAGCTAGTGCTGCAGATGCTGCTAGAGGCAGCAGCAGCAGGCCCTGTCTCATGCTGCTGCTGCTTGAAAGCTGCAGCGTTACCTTTGCTGCAGCAGATACTGAAAACGGCAGGCATATCCGTGCAGAGAGACCAGCTGAAGCAGCAGCAGCAGCAGCAGCAGCAGCAGCGGGCTCTAACCCCACGTGCTGCTCATGCTGCTCACGCTCTATTTAACAGCAGCAGCAGCAACAGCAGCAGCAACGATGGGGACGCCGCGTGCTTGGCTTCTCTGTCTGCGTGCCTTCCCTGGCTCTCAGCAGCAGCTGTAGATTGCTGCAGCAGCAGCAACAGCAGCAGCAGCAGCAACAACGAAAACAAGCGTATGACCGTCGATGAAAGGATGCAAGTGCAGGGTGGTTTGCTGCTGCTGTCGGAGCTGCTGGCAACAGCACAAGGGAGCGGGTGCATGCAAGCAGCAGCAGCAGCAGCAGCAGCAGCAGCAGCAGCAGAGCCGGATAGTTGGCAGCAGCAGCAGGAGGTTCTGCTGCAGATGCTGCAAGAGCTGCTGCTGCTGCTTCTGCTTAGAGGCGATTTGCTTGCGGTAGAGGGGCCAGATGCGTTGCTGCTGCTGCTGCGGCTTGTGGGTATTGTTGCAGCAACACAACCTGTAGGAGAAGCAGCAGCAGCAGCAGCAGCATACGTTCTGTCTGTTCTTGGGGGCTTCGTTGCTACTCCTCGACTGGTATCACCAGCAGCAGCAGCAGCAGCAGCAGCAGCTTGTGCTGCTGCTGCAGACGAAGTAGAAGAAGACAACTTGAAGAGGGAAGACGCGCAGCAGCAACACGTGCAGCAGCAGCAGCAGCAACGCGTGCAGCAGCAGCAGCAGCAGCAACGGGTGCTGCAAGAGCAGCTGCTGCAAGTTGCTTCTGCCTTCCACAGCAGGATAGCTGCAGAGTGCAGCAGCAGCGGAGTCGCTGCAGTCCTTAGCAGCAAGCCTTCCGATGCTGCTGCTGATGCAAGCAGCAGCAGCACAGAGGTCGCAGCAGCAAGAGGAGTTGGTGGCAGCCCCTACGTTGCATGCGTGCGGTCGCTGCAGCATATTCTGCTGTCTACTGGCTGCATGCAGCAGCAGCAACAACAACAGCAAGAGCAGCAGCAGGAGCAGCAACAGCAGCTGATGCCGGCCTGGGTGCTGCTGCGCGCTGTTGCAGCGGGAGTTGAGGCTGCATGCGGAGCAGCTCTGAACAGCTTTGGCGGCAGCAGCAGCAGTAATCAGCAGCAACAGCAGCAGCAGCAACAGCAGCAGCAGCAGCAACAACAACAGCAAAAGCCGCCCATATTTGAGTTGCTGCCAGCAGCTGAGGCAGCTGAAGTGTCCGTTGGTTGCTGCTGCGTCCTCGTGGGCCGCTGGGATACATCTGCGCACCACTGCGAGCAGCAGCAGCAGCAGCAGCAACAGCAACAGCAGCAACAAGAACAGCAGCAAGAAGAGGAGGTGCAGCGCCAACTGCAGCAACAGCAGCAGCAGCAGCAACAGCAGCAGCAAATATTCGTTTTTTCTCCCCCCGCCCGCTTGCTGCAACGCCTTTGTGATCTTCTTTGCTGCGCGGCTGAGCCCTTGGAGCAGCAGCAGCAGCAGCCGCAGCTGCTGCTGCTGCCTTCAGCAGCAGCAAAGTTGCGTCTTCTGGCCTCAGCTGCAGACGGTTTGGCGAGCGCACTGTGTATATACAGCACGATCGTCCAGCAGCAGCAGCAGCAACAGCAGCAGCAAGAGCAGCAGCAAGAGCAGCAGCAACGAGAGCAGCAGCAGCAAAGGAAGAGGGGTCCGGGGGCTTCTCTACTGCTGCTGCTAGGCAGCAAGAGGCTGACGAGTCTGTTTAGGAACTTAGCAGCTGCGTACGTACAGCAGCAGCAGCAGCAGCAGCAGCAGCAGCAGCAAGAGCAGCAGCAACATGAAGAGCAGCAGCAGCAGGGGATGCTGCTTGCATGCATCGTTACTTCACTGCGTCTGCTGCTGCAGCGGCTGCTGGTGCTGCTGCCGCAGCAAGACGCTGCTGCACTTTCGCAGCATATGCTGGAGGAGGTGCTGCGCCATGATGAATTGCTGCTGTTCTTTCCTGCTGCAGTTGCTGTTGCGGTGCAGCCGTGCTGCAGCACCAGCAGCAACACCTGCTGCTGCAGAGGGACTCCCGCTTGGAGCTGCAGCAGCAGTAACCGCATGCAGCAGCAGTTGCTGCAGCGATGTATCTTGCTTTGCTGCTGCTCTCTGCCTGAATGGCAGCAGCAGCAAGTGCGGCAGCTGCTGCCAGCAGCAGCAGCAGCACCAACAGCAACAGCAGCAGCAGCACAGAAGAGCCTTGTGCTGCAGCGGGATGCACTCGAAGTGGTGCTGCTGCTGCTGCAGCACTGGTCACTGAGCAGCAAGCGCGCAGCAGTTTCTCTGCTGCAGCAGGTGGTTGCGAAGCTGCTGCAGAACTGCTGCTGCAGTTGCTGCTGCAGCAGCTGCTGCTGCTGGAGTGCAAACAGCACCACAGATGAGGCTTCCCCGTCTGCTGCTGCTGCTGCTGCTGCTGCTCGGATTGCTGCTCGCGCTGCTGGCTTGCTGCAGGGTGCTGCACTCGCTGGTCTTTGGGCAAGCCGCTGCAGCAGCAGCAGCAGCAGCAGCAACAGCAGCACCAGCGACGATGAGAGATGTCAGCTTGCTGAGCAGCTTTTGGAGGACATCTTGCTGCAGGCCTTCGCACCTCGTTCACATGGCAGCAGCAGCAGCAGCACCAGCAGCAAAAGTAGCAGCAGCAACAGCAACGACAGCGACAGCAGCAGCATTAAAGGATGCAGTTGTGCTGCGCAGTTGGCTGCTGCGAGGGCTGTGGGGCTGCTGCTGCCAGATGTGTTGCAGCAGTCAGCCTTGGCGTTAGATCCATCACCCAGTAGCAGCAGCAGCAGCAACAGCAGCAGCAGCAGCAGCAACAGCAGCAGCAGCAGCAGCAACAGCAGCACCAGTTACTGCCCTCTCTTCCCCGTTCTACCGGAGGGGCGGCCGTGGCGTTTTGGGGCTGATGAATCAGAGCAGCAGCAGCATCAGCAGCAGCAGCAGCAGCAGCAACAGCAGTATGCGGGTAGAGGGTCAAGGAAGCAGCGGAGTGGAGCAGCAGCAGCTAGTTTCTGCCTTGAAGTGCTGCATCCTCGCTGTACGAGTGCTGCTGCTGCTGCAGTTGCTGCTGCATTATCAGCAGCATCATCATCATCAGCAGCAGCAGCTGCAGCAGCAGCACGGTGGGATGCCCCTCGCGGCGAAATCCATTGGCTCCACGAGGCAGAACCTGTTCAGCAGCAGCAGCAGCAGCAGCAGCAGCAGCGGAAGCTGGTTGCGCAGTTGCCGCTGCTGAGTTGCCTTACAGCAGCATGTGTTTCCTCTCTCAGCAGTAGCAACAGCAGCAGCAGCAGCAGAAGCAGCAGATTGGAGCAGCTGGCGCAGGCGGAGCCGCATTTTACTGCCTTGGGGCCCCTTAGTCTGCTGGAGGTGGTTATAGGGTGGGGTTGCTGCTTCTTCGTGCAGCAGCAGCACCTGCTGTCTACTCTGAAACTGCGCATGCAGCAGATGCCGGCTGGTACTGCTGCTGCTGCTGCAGCTCTTGCTGCTGCAGCAGGCTTCCCCCTCTCTCTTACGCCGCTCCACAACACGAGTCAGCAGCAGCAACAGATAGTCCGCGCAACAGCAGCAGCAGCAGCAACAGCAGCAGCAACAGTACAGGAGCAACAAGAGCAGCAGCAGCAGCAGCACGAAGATATCGATGATGCCGCAGTAGCAACAGCAACAGCAGCAGCAGCAGCAGATTTTGCTTTGCTAGAAGGTTTTTCAGGCTCATGGTTGTTTTTGCTGCTGCAGCTGCTGCAGCAGCAGCGAAAGTCGGAGCAAAGAAGCAGAAAGAAGAGCACAGCACATAACGAGGTGTATCCTACATTCTTAGGGTCTTCTTCGTTGCTGCTGCTGCTGCTGCTGCATGCGCTGCTGCTGCTAGCCCTGTGTGAGAGGAGGCCTCTGCTGCGGCTGCTGGCGCTCGAGGGTTTACGTCTAGCAGTGCAGCAGCAATCCATCAAGAAAGAAGTGCAGCAGCAAACCGCTCAACAAGTAAACCCTAAACCCTAAACCCTAAACCCTCAGCGAGTGTTGCAGCTGCACCGTAACAGAGGAGTACCTGCTGTTGCAGGTGCTGCTGCTGCTGCTGCTGCTGCTGCAGTCGATCTGCTTGCAGACGGTGCGGTTCCCTGCTGCTGTTGCTGCTGTTGTTGCTGCTGCAGGTGCTGCTGCTGCTGGAGGAGGCGCTCTGTGATGAACGCGCGGTGGTGCGGAGAGCTGCTGGGGCCTGCTTCGGTGCGTGGACAGCTCGCTGATTGCTGCTGCTGCTGCTGCTGCTGCAGCAGCAGCAGCAGCAGCAGCAGCTGGAGGGTGTGTTGATTTTTTTGTGTCTTATACCGATTCTGTATTCTGCATGCACTCGGATGGTCTTTGAAGAATATGCTGAGAAGCAAAGAGAGCCCGCGCTGCTGCTTCTTGTGCAGCAGCAGCAGCAGCAGCAGCGGGAGCTGCTGCCGCTGCTCTTCGTGCTGCTGTTGCTGCTGCTGCATTGGGTGGATTGCAGGAAGCTGCACTTTGCTGCTTGTTTTGCGTGGGGTTAGCGAGCCGGAGTTAGCTTTATACAGCTTTAGCAGCTGTATCTAGCTGTATCTAGCTGCAGCTAGCTGTATCTAGCTGTAGCTAGCTGTAGCTAGCTGTTCTGGCCGTAGCGGGTTGTTTTTATAGTTGTTTCGAAGTGTAGCTAGCTGTAGCTAGCTGCTGCTAGTCATAGATAGCTGTAGCTATCTGTAGCTAGCGATAGCTAGCTGTAGCTAGCGATGGCTAGCTTTAGCTAGCTGTAGCTAGCTACAGCTAGCTACAGCTAGCTGGTTGCTGCGGCGTCCGAGTGTTGTTTTTGTGGGGGCGCAGCAACTGAATTCGAATTTGTGTCTTCGTGCCTTTAGAGTATCATGTGTATATATGTGTGTATATATATATATATATGTTATATATATATATAACATATATATATATATATGTTATATATATATTTGTATATATATTATATATAATATATATATTTTTACGTGTCTATTGATAGGTATGTGTATGTGTGTGTGTGTGTCTGTGTGTGTATCTGTGTGTGTGCCAGCGTATATATATATAATATTTATGTTAAATATATATATGTTAAATATATATATCTATATATATATATAGATATATATTTATTTATTTATATAATATATAATCTATATAATATATAATATGTGTGTATTAGTGTTTGAAAGAGGGGTTTGAAGTTCGCATCTTTTCGTCGAATTTTTTGGGTTTTGTTTGGCTGGTTGCTGAGAGCTAATAAAATAAAATATTTAAATATTTAAATATTTAAATAAATAAATAATTAAATAATTAATTGTTTAAATATTATTAAATAATTAATTGTTTAAATGCCTGTAGATTTTATTTATATGTTTAGACGCATAAATCTGAGGGTGTGTTAATGTTTAAGTGTATATTAATATTGGGGTGTATAGACATGTAAATGTTTACGTGTATAAATATATAAATGTTTACGTGTATTAATATATAAATGTATTAATGTTTAAATGTCTATGACTATATATCTTTATGTAAACCAAGCAGACGTTTAAATATATAAATGTTTAACTGTATAAATGTGTACAAGTCTTTGATGTTTTTATATATACTGCATGCAACAGCAGCAACCGGTGTTGTGATGTGGGGTGCTGCAGCTGCAGCAGCAGCTACAGCTACAGCAGCAGCAGCAGCAGCAGCAGCATATAATGGATTACGAACGCTATTGTCTCTTTTTCTGTGTCTTCTTGGCGAATTAAAAGCAAACAAAAACTCAAAAAACTTAAGTCGAGGTTGTTGCTGCTTTTTTTTGCTTTTACTCTAATACAGCCAGAGGCCGAGGAGACACGCAGTTATATATATATATAATAGATAATATATATAATAAACAACATACAATATATATATATATATATATATTTATTTATTTATTGAGTAGTTGGTTATCATGTATATATATAATATATATATAGGTAGATATGTATAATAGGGTAATATCACTTATACAGCATAATATTGTAGGATATTACATATTATATATAATATAAATATATAAGGTTTAGATAATATATATATATATATGCAAGTATCTATATATACATATATATATATGTATATATATAGGGGGTTGTCTCTGTCTTGATGAGGAAATAACTTTATTTGTGCAATTTGTTTTTGATTTATTAATTTAATTCGAGTTCTGATGTCTATGCACAGCCTCCCCAGTAGGCAGACGTTGTTTTGAATGCTGAGTCTATACATATAAATATAAGCATAAATATAAATATATATGTAATATATATTTAATTTTTTGTTGTTTATTTCTTTTTTAGAATGAGTTTTAAGGTTTTTTTAAATAATTTTTTACTTAAAAAAACAGCAGCCCCTGACGCCCTCACCAGCGAGTGGGTGTAGTTAGCAGCGCTGTCTTCTTTGGTTTGTAGACTACTACAGCGAATAAACAAAATAAAAATAAACAAATAAATAAAAATAACGAAATAATTGTGAATTCAATAAATCAAATAATGAGAAAAAA